GAAATTAAAAACTAATAGTGTCAGAAAGGCCAATTATAATTAATTGGGCTTAAGCAAGTATCTTAATTATTATTCTAATTAAATTAGCGCCAATTTCTGTAAAGTACGAATTAAAAGGTGCGCCGAGCTTCTTGAAAATTCCACATTAGACGACAAAGTGTGTCGTTTAGAAAAATGGATGTGAAATTAAAAACTGATAGTGTCAGAAAGGCCAATTATAACTAATTGGGCTTAAGCAAGTATTTTAGTTATTATAATTAAATTAGCGCCAATTTCTGTAAAGTACGAATTAGAAGGTGCGCCGAGCTTCTTGGAAATTCCACATTAGACGACAAAGTGTGTCGTTTAGAAAAATGGATGTGAAATTAAAAACTGATAGTGTCAAAAAGGCCAATTATAATTAATTGGGCTTAAGCAAGTATCTTAATTATTATTCTAATTAAATTAGCGCCAATTTTAGTAAAGTATGAATTAAAAGGTGCGCCGAGCTCGTTGAAAATTTCACATTAGACGACAAAGTGCGCCGTTTTGAAAAATTGATGAGAAATTAAAAACTGAGCGTGTCAGAAAGGCCAATTACAATTAATTGGACTTAAGCAACTATCTTAATTATTATTCTAATTAAATTAGCGCCAATTTCTGTAAAGTACGAATTAAAAGGTGCGCCGAGCTTCTTGAAAATTCCACATTAGTCGACAAAGTGTGTCGTTTAGAAAAATGGATGTGAAATTAAAAACTGATAGTGTCAGAAAGGCCAATTATAATTAATTGGGCTTAAGCGAGTATCTTAATTATCAATCTAATTAAATTAGCGCCAATTTCTGTAAAGTACGAATTAAAAGGTGCGCCGAGCTCGTTGAAAATTTCACATTAGACGACAAAGTGCGCCGTTTTGAAAAATTGATGAGAAATTAAAAACTGAGCGTGTCAGAAAGGCCAATTACAATTAATTGGACTTAAGCAACTATCTTAATTATTATTCTAATTAAATTAGCGCCAATTTTTGTAAAGTACGAATTAAAAGGTGCGCCGAGCTTCTTGAAAATTCCACATTAGACGACAAAGTGTGTCGTTTAGAAAAATGGATGTGAAATTAAAAACTGATAGTGTCAGAAAGGCCAATTATAATTAATTGGGCTTAAGCAAGTATCTTGTTATTATTAATTAAATTAGCGCCAATTTCTGTAAAGTACGAATTAAAAGGTGCGCCGAGCTTCTTGAAAATTCCACATTAGACGACAAAGTGTGTCGTTTAGAAAAATGGATGTGAAATTAAAAACTGATAGTGTCAGAAAGGCCAATTATAATTAATTGGGCTTAAGCAAGTATCCTTAATTATTATTCTAATTAAATTAGCGCCAATTTCTGTAAAGTACGAATTAAAAGGTGCGCCGAGCTTCTTGAAAATTCCACATTAGACGACAAAGTGCGCCGTTTTGAAAAATTGATGAGAAATTAAAAACTGAGCGTGTCAGAAAGGCCAATTACAATTAATTGGACTTAAGCAACTATCTTAATTATTATTCTAATTAAATTAGCACCAATTTCTGGCAAATACGAATTAAAAACCGCACTGAACTTCTTGAAAATTCAAACGACAAAGTGTGTCGTTAAAAAAAGGATGTGAACTTAAAAACTGATTGTGTCAGAAAGGCCAATTATAATTAATCAAACTTGAGCAAGTGTCGTGTTTTGAGTGAGCTTAAATATTTTCGTAGTTACAAAATCGGCCAATGTGCACAGAGTGATAGTTAATCGCGAAATTTGGCACGTTTGTTTATCGAAGTATATTGTAAATATACACTAAGTGCAACAATGTTGTAATCGGCTACATATTTTCGGGCATAATTTCCAAATTTACACGCTGTGGTTTGATTCTGTTGGTCAATCCTGTTGA